ACTAAAAAATACCAAAGTGTCGATCACCTCAAGCAAGCGCTTCGCCGGGAATGGGCCAAAATACCGCAGAGCGACATTCTAAAATTTGATGCTAAAAAATTTAAAAATTATGGCTTTTGACTTTGTTGCAGTTTTTTTATTTTACCCTGTATACTTTGCTATGTCTAAAATATTATTTCTATGAGTTACAAACGGAATGACGAGCGGATAATATTATTTCAAAGAATATGGTTTAAAAAGTTCAAAGATTATCAGAGCATACACTTTTGAGTATATTTTTCCAGAAATAAAATCCCAGGATTCATGAATCCTGAATATCACATAACACCCCAATATACAATGAAACATCTCATTAATAACATACATAGTTACGTTTATGTGGTCATATCTGTAGTATTTTTTTCATCTCACTGACAACAATACGTCTGTATATGTAGAAGTCCTTTTGTGCCACTGTATGTGTGAGTGTGTGGTAGTACATTTAACTCGTACATCGGGATGTGTTTCTGACATATTTCCGCAAAAAGTCATAAATGTGGTCAAAAGACACACAGTAGAAAACCGGAAGTGACAAATATTCTGACATTATGAACTACTAAAAAGAAAAACATAAAGAGTTCACTCTGACCTTTTCTAGCGACAAATTTATGCATTAATGCTTGCAACAAAACTACATTAAAATATAATTTAAAAAAATTAAAGTTTAATTTTGACTGAAAAAAGTGACAGAACGTTTAATTATACAGAAATCATACAGACTCGAAATTTTTGGCGAAAATTAGGACGGCACCTAATCCTCGATAAAAAAAATAGCTGGCAAAAGAAAGTCATATTCATTAAAGACTGAATGCGAACAATTATTAAAAAATATTTAAATTTAGTAAATTTATACTAAAATTCCTAAAAACAACAGTGCCTCAGATCGTGCACACACTCCTTTAAACCTACTAAGTTCATGTGAGGGGACAGCAAACTAAAAGAAAAATATTCTCTTTTCCATTACTAGTTAAGTAACATCCCCCAAAAATGGATACTAAAATAGTGGTTTCGTTTAACCTGAACCCATTTCTAAACACAAAATTATGGTCCACTGGCATATTGACATTAAATAAATCTGGTAAAAAGTAACAAAACAAACATACTCCATATGCAAAAAGCTATTTATCCACATTTGGCCAGGCTAACCATGCTATACCCACATCCACTAGCAAGCCAAGTAAGTATTATTATAAAAACAATAAAAATAATCCCACATACTCCCCTCCTCACACACACACATTTAACGATAACAAAAAATAACCCCTCTTTATTGTAAGGATATTGGTAAAGAGCTTAAAGGGTTCAAAAACGAACTTGACAATTCTTTCATATCTTGATGTTTTTTCTGCACTTTTTTTGGCTGTCAATGTCATTGCTATGGGTAATAGCAAAATAAAAAACAAAAAATATCTGAATCAGACAGATGTAAAAAAGGGGATACAAACAAAAGATAAACATTTAAAATATTTACTTTGAGTTTCAGTTGTTGTTCCACCAATATTTGTTCATTTGTATTTAAAACTTAAAAGATTTTGTGGGTCAAAATCAACGACCATCTATAAAGCACACATTTTAAGTTAAATAAGGGGAACGGATTTTGAAAAAAAAAAAAACCATTATAAGTTTAACATACATTTATTTGTAGGAAAATTTATTTTGTTATTTAAAAATCCCAAAATCTGTTTAAGGCAAAGTATTGCGCACATCAAAAACAAATCTTGAAATGAAAGTTAAAAAACCAAATCAGGTTATTTAATAAAAACAAGTAAAATAGTATCAGTCGTTTTTCCGACACGCCCCGGCCTTGAGTTATGATTATTCAAACTGTTGACACTTTATGCGAGAGGTTCCGAAGCAGTTGACCAATTCGTATCTGACCTAAGACTGATATAAAATTTCCAACGTTGAATATTTTTCAGCCTTCCGACACCCCCAGCCTTGAGTTATGATTTTTCAAAGTGTTGACCCTTTATGCGGGAGTTTCCGAAGCAGTTGACCAATTTGTATCTTACCTAAGACTGATATAAATATTCCAACGTGGAATATTTCTCAGCCTTCCGACACCCCCAGCTTTGAGTTCTGATTATTCAAACTGTTGACCCTTTATCTCCCGCATACGAAGCAGTAGACCAATTCGTATCTGGCCTAAGACTGATATAACTATTTCAACGCGGCAGATTTAGACTATATCGACTACTTTCTATACTTTATATGAGATATGTGCAAATATTTGGAAAATATGGAAATATGCGTGAGTTTCCAGGTGTAACGGACCGAATTATTCCATTTTCATATTTCATACTTTTATATCCACTTTTATGCGAAATCATACGATCTGATATGAATATATAATTTCATATCAGATTTCTGGCCAAGAAAAATATTTAGATCGAATCGCAAACTTGTTTCGCAAGTTATGACAAATATAAGTATTGGAAATTGTGACCTCTTGTAGTACCAGAAGGGGTTCGCAGATATATATCATCTTCACAACAGATCTTGTGTTAGCTAAAATGTTTGTATGTGCGAAATTTGAAGAGAGTTGGATGCTTATTTCGCGTGGACCGTTTTGGTTATTCAAAACATTGACCCTTTGTGGGTGAGGTACCAGAAAGAATCTCTACCATCTTTATAAAAGATCTTATGTTGATGGAAATATTAAGATGTGCCAAGTCTGAATGGAATCGGACGTTAATTTCGTGTTTTATAAGCTTCGTGAAAATTCCAAATTTTGACCCTTAGGGGGGGAGGTACCAGAAGGAGTGCACCGATATATTCCATCTTCACACAAGACCTTGGGTTAATAAAAATATTGTGATGTGTGTAGTTTGACGTGAACCGAAAGGTTATTGGTTTTGGTTTTTTAAAACTCTAAACCTTTATGTGGGAGGTGCCAGAAGGTATGGTCGAATCTCTACCATCTTTATGACAGATCTGGTATTGAGGAAAATTTTGAAACGGGCCAAGTCTGAATGGAATCGGATGTTAATTTCGTGTTTTATGAGCTTCATGGATATTAAAAATTTTGACCCTTTGTGGAGGAGGTAACAGAAGGAGTGGACCGATATATTCCATATTCACACCAGACTTTAGGTTAATAAAAATATTGTGATGTGTGTAATTTGAAGACAATCGACAATTATTCAAAATGTTGACACATGACCTAGCACTGATGCAAATATTAGGATTTGCGAAATTGGAGCATAATCGAATTATTATTTCTCGTTTTGTAAATTATTTTCTTTGAAAATGTTGATATTTTGATCCGAACTCGATCTAAGTTTGAGAATAATATTACGATGTACCAAGTTTAGATAAAATCGGATACTCCCTTCGAGAGTTATCGTGCGCACCAGCCACCCTGAAAGACAGGGAGACTGACGGACGTAGCTAGATCGACTCCAAATGCCCTGAAACGGATTTGGTCCAAAGAGACCTAGGGTCTAAAACCGTTATTTCGATCAGGCACGTTTAGACCGTATCAAATGATATATACCCCTGTATACCTATGACTGAGGGTATAAAAAGAAGTTGAAGTTGACAACATTGGTATCTATCAGAAGGTCTTAACGACTACTTTGGTTTCATCGCTAACCTACCGAAAATTGTAGTTAATTACCGAAATTATAACCATTTTAATGTTGCCGACTTTTATCGGTTACTCAAAAATGAGAATTCCACTACAGGTCTTTTGCGTCACCATGTCGTTATTATCGAATTCCAACCCTTGATGCAGATAATGATCCGATTTTCATGTAGTAGAAAGAAGACCCATGAAACTTTCCAATTACCGATCATCAGTATGAGTTCCGGCAGCCCCGTACTACCACAACAAATACATTAGGCAAAGGCCCAAACACGGCAGATCGTGTCCTAAAACAGTGTTCGTAGCACTTGACCTAAGAAAGATACAAATGTGATTTGATATCATTTGTTCTTCCTGCCTGGATAGTTAATCTTATGCCGTAGGTGGAAATTTGATTTAACACAGACTGTTTTTCCATTTCAATTCTTGTCTCATTTAATTTCCTCAATGCGAGTGATATGAAAATATCCACGACTATTACACTACTTTTTAACATGGACTACAAAAGTGCCTGCACTGCTTTTGTTACAGCACATATTTTACTGAATGTTTTACCAGCTATCATGACCACACCAAATTTCTAAAACAACGATCGGAACACACCTTAACGATCCCAGTTCAGGAATCTTAGAGGACTATTCATTTCTTGACAGCGTGAAAGAGGTACTAGAGCAAATCCTTGAACAGGAAGGCCATCGAATTCACATATAGTACATATTGCATATATTTGTTGAAGTTGGAAGATAGAGTCAAAACACACAAGCTTCAAAACTATTTCAACTGCTGGAGGTTAAAGAATCTCTGTCTCAGAACTATATCCATATCATACGCATTTCATCAGTTGCCTTCATTTCTACATAAACTCTTATAGATAAGCACAAATTCGTAGTCACTTTCTTGGTTAAAAGCTACTAACAAAAAAATTCTGGTCAAAGAAAAGTCTACATCGACTTACCTGGATAATTTTCAACTTTCCTCGGCTATATAACAACACACTACGATTAAAACGCGCACTACACTCACAATTTCATCATGTTACACCATTATTTTTTACAATTTCACAATTTATTCTCTATTTCTCATAATTCACTTTAATTTCCTGGCAAACACGACAATTTTCACATTTCAACTGAGCAAAATTGTGCAAAATCAAACAAAATAACTGTTATTTGACAGTTTGAAAAGTGTAGCAACGTACAGTTAAAAGGGCATTGTAAATAAATTTTGGTAATTTTTCGATTTCGACATCCCTAATCCAGCGCCAAACATGTCCAATCGTTACTTTTGTTTTGATTCCCAATTTTTATTGGCCACTTTTCCCATTTATCAACATCCATTTTTTACGGCGTCATTTTTGCAAAAGGGCTTTGCAATTTCTGCAAAAAAAACATTGCAAACATTGCCCTCCTTTTTGAAACATCAAAACAAAGCTATTGTTTAAGAAATAAATTAAATATAAATAGTAAAGGCAATATAAAAACTTCCTTATTATAAATACTCACCTGTGTGAACAACTAAATGACAATAACGATTCCAACAAAGGACAAGGCAACAACGGACACTGAACGCTATGAAGATTCTCTGCGAGACCCAAGTGCAGAATCGTCTGACCCAGGCAAACAAGACGCCTCGCATGGTGAAAGCCACTCTGGCCGTGGGATTTCATACCACAGCCAAGGATCAAAATGGAGAGTGTAATAAAGATTTGGAAATTATACTATTCACACCACAAGATAAAAATGGTACCCGCTACAAAGTGAAGAATAACATTGAGAAAATGTTCACAAAGTTTTTGAAAGATGGAAAGGCCACAATTAGCTTTAAACAACCTGCTGAAAATCTAATGATAAAATGTGATCCCATACAATTGAAGGGATTTCTACAGACCCTTAAGCTGGGCCTTGAGGGTAAGGATTCGATAAATTTGCGAATGAATATTGCCTCGGCAACTGCAATTCCACAAAAATCACAGCCACAAACAAAAATGAATATAACAAATCGTGGAGATTATCCAACAAAGGGCTTTCCAAGGACTCTGAAGTCGTTGACCATAACCGGCATCAAATTGTGCAAGGTCACCTATGATATGTGTTCGCTGCGGAATTTGACAACTTTGAATTTGAGCTTTAATACCATTGAGAAGGTAAAATGGGAAAAATGTTTACAATTTAACTTGTTATGATTTCTAGAAGAATGTGTGGCTTTCCATAATTGTTCCTGCGATCATGGATATTGTGATCAATACTCTCTTACATTTTCCGTTTAAAGAGTTGGCAATAATAGCCAAATTTGGTCTTCCTTTTAGTTCTTTTAGAAATGATGTTTCAATATTTAGAAACCCGGTCAGAAAATCAACCCATATAATAGCTCTGCCCAATCGACTCTTAATTTTCTATGTCGAACTAATTTTTAGTTAAACTAAAGAATTTTTTTCTTTTTTCCATATTTCAGATACCAAATGAACTGGGACGCCTGGCGCTGGTTGAATTGAATTTGAGTAACAACAATTTGGGTGATAAAAATGATTGGCAATGGTTAAAGGGTAAAACCATACAGAGCTCATTAAGGGATCTTGACATGTCTGCCAACAAATTGGAATACTTCCCACCACCCCTGATCAAATATGAAAAACTAGTCACCTTAAAACTCAACAATAATCAACTGACCTGTTTACCACAAGCCATACGACGTATGCGAGGTTTGCGATTTGTCCACTTGTCCATAAATAAATTGGAATCATTGCCGGCGGCATTTAATAACATTCCCCTGGAAATGTTAGATGTTTGGGGTAATAATTTCCAACAGCTAAAAGAATACGATTTGGATACCAAATCGTCAACATCTTCGTCATCATCCGTCTCTGGTGTACAAAATTTATTCACTTGCTCACCATTATGGCTACAAGCCGCACGAGCGGTTTGCCAACATAAATTGTCTTATTCATCTGCCACATTACCTTGGATATTGGTCGATATCCTATCGGAAGCGCCCAAATGTGCCTGTGGCAAACTTTGTTATGGTGATACCGTTCTGGAGCGGGCAGCCATGGCCACATTTGAAAATGTCAAGAATTTAGTATTTAGTCGAGATCGTCTAATATATGCTGATATTGTTTTATGTGGTTCCCAGTGTGCTGGCCGTAAGCAGATATTGGCAACATAGTGTTGGCCCTTGGCGTTCGTGGGCCAAGCTTTAGACTATTTAAGAATTTGATCATAATCTGCACTGTTTCACATAGTTTAAGTTCTCACTCATTATCACCCTTGTCATTAGCGTTATTATTACTTATCTATTATAATTTTTTTGTTTCGTTGTCCCATTGTGTTTCTTTCTGCCCATAGGATACTGGATATTCCCAAATAACATTTTTTTATAAATAAAAAAAGGAATGAATAAATAAATGCAAGAGTTAAACATGATGTGATTTTTAAAGGGTGATGAAAATTTTCAAAATGGAGTCTATGAAAAGATTTACAGATCTTCTACGGGAAGATGAAATTTCTTCTATGAGAATTCCTAGAGATCTTTTATGGAAAGATACATAGATCTTATATATGGAAAGATCTACAAATCTTCTATGAGAAGATCTACAGGTCTTCTATGAGAAAATCTACAGATCTTTTATGAGAAGACCTAAAGGTCTTCTATGAAAAGACCTACAGATGTTCTACGAGTATACCTACGGGTCTTCTACGAGAAGATCTACAGATTTTCTATGCGAAGATCTACAGATCTTCTATGCGAAGATCTACAGATCTTCTATGCGAAGATCTACAGATCTTCTATGCGAAGATCTACAGATCTTCTATGAGAAGACCTACAGGCCTTCTAAGAGAAGATCTACAGATCTTCTATGAGAAGACCTACAGGCCTTCTATGAGAAGATCTACAGATCTTCTATGAGAAGACCTACAGGCCTTCTATGAGAAGATCTACAGATCTTCTATGAGAAGATCTACAGATCTTCCATGAAAAGATCTACAGATCATCTATGAGAAGATCTACAGATCATCTATGAGAAAATCTACAGATCATCTATGAGAAGATCTACAGATCTTCTATGAAATCTACTGATCATCTATGAGAAGATTTACCGATCTTCTATGAGATCTACAGATCTTCTATGAGAAGACCTACAGGCCTTCTAAGAGAAGATCTACAGATCTTCTACTCTAACATCTACAGACATACTATGAGAAGATCTACAGATCTTCTATGAGAGGATCTACAGATCTTCTACGCGAACATCTACAGACATACTATGAGAAGAACTACAGTCCATCTATGAGAAGGTCTTCTATAAGAAGACCTTCTATGAGAAGACCTCCAGGTCTTCTATGAGAAGACCTCCAGGTCTTTTATGAGAAGACCTCCATGTCTTCTATGAGAAGACCTCCATGTCTTCTATGAGAAGACCTCCAGGTCTTCTATGAGAAGACCCCCAGGTCTTCTATGAGAAGACCTCCAGATCTTCTATGAGAAGACCTCCAGGTCTTTTATGAGAAGACCTACAGGTCTTCTATGAGAAGACCTCCAAGTCTTCTATGAGAAGACCTCCAAGTCTTCTATGAGAAGACCTCCAAGTCTTCTATGAGAAGACCTCCAAGTCTTCTATGAGAAGGCTTACAGGTCTTCTATGAGAGATGTTCTGCGAAAGGATCCATAGATCTTTAAATCATCATTTCTCCTATGAAAGTTCAAGCTGAGTTCAATATCCATTCAAATAAAGTTTCCCCCTCAAACAACTCACATTTTTTTGCCATTACTAAGTCAACATTTTTATTTTTATGATTCATTTTTTTTTGTCAATTTGTTTAGCTAAATTTAAATAAACATTACTTATATTTTCGATTTTTATAAATTCTCAGCATAATTTGTTGATAAATATTTTATATACGTATATATAATTAGAATCATGTCATGTACTAGGTTTCATTAAGCGCAAACCAAGGAACGAAATTAAAGTGCTTCTAAAACAAAGTGCTTCAATTCAAAATATGTTTTTGCAATACATACAAACATACAACCAAAATTTAACTTAAATCAAGGAACTTAATTCTCAGTAACAGTACAAAAAATAAACTCAAAATAAAAAAATATATATATCTCTATATGCATACATACATACACATGTGTGTAATAAATGCTATAAGTACTTTTGTTTCGAAAAAGGATAAAAAAAATTGCAGATCATTGTGAACACAAACAGGAAATAAACAAATAAATTACAAATACCAAAATCATAAAAAAACACAGCTCTATTTTCTTTCTTCCACAAATAAAAAATAAAAATTTTATAACTTTGCCGGAACAACTAGGGGATTATGAAAACGGCACATTGGCAATGCAGGGAATCCAAGTGAGTTTTGCATAAATGCTATCCACAAGTGCTCATAACTTGCAGAGGCAGAACAACAAAGGTATAAAACATCCTATGGCCACAATAACTGGCATCATTATCGTAGAATCTTCCGAGGCATAGGGATCGGGATGACGTGGTCCACTTGTTTTTTTATTTCTACGTTCTCTTTCTAAATCATCCAAGTCATCATGGCCAGCCTCATTGTCATACTGACTATCAACATCTTCATCATCGTCAATAATATTGTCTTCATCGTCCACCTCCTCATCGGCATCCATAAGATCCTCCTCCACATCATCTTCCATTACTTTCTTTGTATTCGTTTTTAATTTTCGATTTGATGAATGTCCGTTGATATCATGTTTCTTCTCCTCAAATTGGTCGTCTGTATTAAAGCCTTCGCTTTGCATGGCCGGCAATCGAGGTATTCTCTCCACATCGCCTTTGAACAGAGCAAATGCATTGATTTTGGGATTATCATAGGCACCCTTAATAAACTCCAAACGTATCACATTGTTGCGTATATCGGAAACTTCATCCTTGTAGTGTAGTTTGCCACGTGACACCGTAAAGAAGATGTACTCATCATGTGCCGTACCACGACCAACTTGTGCAAAGATATCCAAATTTGAAACAATTTCATGTTGGCGATTCAGGACAACATCGAAAACCTTTAAAGGAAAGACAGCACAAAGATTAGAATTTAAATTGTGGGAAAAAAATGTTAAAATAAATTAATAGTTTTTTTTCAGGGATTTTAAATGGATATTCAAATTCAAGGGGCACAACAAAAAAGGGGCTAACACAAAAAAAAATAAGTTTTAGATTTCTGTTCCGGAAAAACAGATTTTTACCCTTAAGAAGACTTCTACAATAACAAATTCTATTACAACAATAGAGGAGGTACAACTTATCTACCACGCCACAAGCAACATCTCCCCCAACGTTGCCCCTTTCCTATTAAATTTAACCTAAACAAGTAAAATAGTATCAGTCGGTTTTGACGACAGATGAATACCCCCAGCTTTGAGACCGTTGACCGATTATAAGGGAGGTTCCAAATATTTAGCCAATATTGACAATTTCGTATCTGACCTAAGACTTACATAAATATTACAACATGCCAGATTCGGACTATATTGATTACTTCCTATACTTTATATGAGATATGTGCAAATTTTTGGAAAATATGGAATTATGCGTGAAGAACAGATATAGCGGACCGAAGTATTCCATTTTCATACTTCATCTAATACAGATAAAAATGTAGGTATGTGCAAAATTTGAAGGAAATCGAAAATTTATATCCAATTTAATGCGTAATCATAAATTCCAATAAATTACATATTCATTTCAGATTTCTGGTTAAGAGAAATATTTAGATATAGCAATTTGTAAAGAATCACCGAATTGTTTCGCAAGTTATGACAGATATAAGAATTGGAAATTGTGACCCTTGGTGGGTAAGGTACCAGAAGGCTTTGGCAGGTATATATCCTCTTCACAACTGATCTTGCGTTAGCAAATATATTTGGATGTGTAAAATTTTAAGAGAGTTGGATGCTTATTACGCTTTTTTTGTTTTTAAAAATCTTGAACGCTTTGTGGGGGAGGTGCCAGAATAAATGGTCCGATCTCTACCATCATTATAACAGATCTCGTGTTGATGAAAATATTGTATGATGGAATTAATGACTGAATGAAATCGGAAATTAATTTCGCGTTTAATGAGCTTCATATATATTCAAAATGTTGACCCTTTGTGGGGAAGGTACCACAAGGAGTGGACCGATATGTTCCACCTTCACACCAGACTTTGGGTTAATAAGAATATTGTGATGTGTGTAATTTGAAGAGAACCGGATGCTTATTTTGAATTTTATGATCGTTTTGGTTATTGAAAACTTTGAACCTTTGTGGGGGAAGTACCAGAAGGAAGGGTCCGATCTCAACCATCTTTATAACAGATCTTGTGTTTATGGAAATATTGAGATGTGCCAAGTCTGAAATCGAAAGTTAGCTTCGTATTTTATGTGCTCCATGGATATTCAAAATTTTGACCCTTTGTGTGGGAGGTATCAGAAGGAGTGGACCGATTTATTCCAACTTTACACCAGACCATGGGTTAATAAAAATATTGTGATGTGTGTAATTTGAAGACAATCGGACACTTACTATAATTATTCAAAATTTTGACCCTTTGTGGGTCGGTACTTGATCGAGTGGAGCGATATTGTCCATTTTCGCACCTGACCTAGCACTGATGCAAATATCAGGATTTGAGAAGTTGGGACAAAATCGTATTATCCTTTCTCTTTCTGTGAAGTAAATTATTTTCTTTGAAAATATTGATATTTTGTGGGGGAGGTGCCAGAAGCATTTGACCGAGAAGTTTGACAATAATATTAAGATGTACGAAGTTTGGATCAAATCGGATTCTCCCTTCAAGAGATATCGTGTGCACCAGCCAGCCAGACAGTTGACGTCGGTATATCAACTCCAAATGTCCTGAAACGGATTTGGTCCAAAAAGATCTAGGGTCTAAAATCGTTATTTCGATAAGGCACGTTTTGGCCGTATCAAATGATATATGCCCTCTTGTGATGATGTAAATATTGAGATGTACCAAGTCTGAATGACATCGGAGATTAAATTCGCGTTTCATGAACTTCATGGATATTCAAAAATTTTAAACTTTGTGGCGGAGGTACCAGGAGGAGTGGTACCTCCATATGGCTGAGGGTATAAAAATGATTTATGCACATCTGTAGGTCACTTCAACAAACCAGTTTGTGACTCTCTCTGGGAGGATAAAGAAGAAAAAGAAACGATCGAACATTTGCTTCAGCCTTGATGTAATATCAAAAAATCCACGATCTTATCCTTGGGGAATTTACGTAGATGGACAAAAAGAAAAAGGGAATGCTAGCTCAAGAGCATTCGATACTGGAATGAAAAATAAATTGGACCTATTGGAAAAACCTTTGCTTAATCACTTTATAATTTTCCCATCTCTGGGAATGATGTGGCTATGTGCCTACACAGTGAAGACCTCATAAAGATGATGAATCTAGAATTTTTAAGGTCAATTGTAATTCCTTGAAATATATTCGTTAATTAGTCTAAATCGACTACGTGTCATATACATAACGAACCCTTTCAGATAACCTCTAGTTTGACGTTATTAGTTTCTCAGACATTACAACGCTTTCAACAGAAAATGGCCAACATTTGTCTTTCGTTTGGTGTAGCACCTATTTAGCGGCGCCTACAGATGTTCTGTTTTTTTAAGTTTCCAAAAACAATTTTCAAACCGAATGGTTGAAACGTTTGGCATTGCGATTTTTCAAGGGATAAATACTTGCTTTAGGAACATTTTGTGGGTCTTGTTTCATGCTTGATTCAGTCGATTCAATTTGACAACTGTCCTACTGTCTTCTTAGCGGGATTCGAAAACGACTAGTCCCTAGTCTCCACCTGTATTCTGCATTAAAAGCATCTAAAATACTACGATTTCGTAGGTGGAGGAAGAAGGTTTATCTTTCTTTCTTTTTCTATGTAACAACTCCTTATAAGTGGGTGTGTTGAAACATAATTGATACTAAAATACTATTTCTGATTAATCTGCTTTACAAATAGCACAACCACAACAATAACATACTGATGTTGGTAAAAGGAAGCGCTCATATGTTGTTTGTTTTAATTAGATAATGGGGGGAGGAGGATAAAATTACTAAAATATGTCCTTTTGACTTTGACCTTTTGAAAATCAATACCTGCACATATATGTTTGGCCAATGATGAGACAACAAATGGATATGCATGTTCTAACAACAAATGTTAATAAGTTACCAGTTACAGGGAAAATATATTGTCTCGTTGGTCATTTTGAATTGCAATTAATTGACATAAAAGTATTTCTATTTTCTTATGTCGGCCCACTATTTCATTGCAACAATTGATAACAACGCTATCACTCTAATTCACCATAATTCCCTTGGGACGATAAAAATATCCATATCAATTAAAAATACCAAAAAAATTAAAACATTCCACTCACCTTCTTATTCGGCTCATTGAAATATACTTCGCAAAATTTCAATAGCAATGCATAATTCCCGTCACCTTCCAAAGGTAAATCATAGCCAAAGGTCGACGTATGATAACGTTCCGTGCGATACAGCACCTCATCCTGTTGCGGAACACGTCCAATTATCAGCAAATGGTTGCCATAATCGGAGGCAGTGCCCACATTCAAGGGATCAGCCTCATAGAGTATGCCATACTTATCAGTGTGATCATAGCCACCGGCATTAATGGCATAAATGACCTGTAAATCGTTGTTGGCAGCTGCCCGAACACCTGAGTACAAACTACTGCAGCTTATCAGTAAAACACTGGCAACGTAGACTAGCAATTGAAAAGAATTTCTTCTTGATATTGATGAGGTCGATGATGTGGCAAGATTCATGGCTAATTAGTTTATAATTAAATATTTTCCTACTTTTTTCCAAAACACCTATAAGCTGCCCTTATTTCCTTGTTGTTGTTGTTTCTGTTCTGTTGTGAGTATTCGCCGTCGTTGGCTAGCAGGCTGTCAATTGGCTATTTTTAACCAATCGGCAAATGGAGGGTACGTGTCCTAGTATACTTGGCTTGTTCTAATTTGTCTATCTCGGCTATCTGGAATATAAATGGGATTTTAATTGACGAACTTTAGTTGTTTATGGTCCACTGACTTTTATTTCAGCAAATGTTGATATTTTTTTTAATTTTTCAGTTTATTCGACGGACGACAACATTATAGAAACACGACAACATTATAGAAACACTAACAACAACATAAAATACACAGAAGAATGGTACCCGGTATTCTCCGGGTATTCACCATACAACACCAAATCTTCAAACTCTTTTTTATTCTTTTTTGACCTTTTTCACGCACAATCTCAGCAATCACACATACATATTTGTTCTACATATTTTTTCATACAGTTTTATACGAAATACATTTAAAATGATTTAACAATTTACCAAACTGAAACCAGAACTGAAGTAACGAACAAAGGACACAGTGATACGGCAACACTGAAACGAAAGGCAGCACAGAAAGAAATATGAATAAAGACATGGAATCAAAACAGAAAGTCTGACAACAAAGTGTTCCCTAGATCGGAAAAGTCACTTTCTACGTCTTCAGTCGTGCAGCTGTGTGTAGAAGCTAGGGATTTGTAATTCGAGTTTCGTCTCAATGATATCGTGCTGTCAAAATGCAATGCATTTGTTAATTAATGATTTTTAAAATTAATTAGACTCCTTCAAGGTAGAAAGGCCAAAGCGATAATTTCTATAGTTTTTTTGTAGATTTTTCCAAAAACATATATTTAGAAAACTATTCTACATTTCCAGGCCCGAATACACGATTGAAAATTTGTCTAGACTTCTTCAAGGCCAGAGGGCATGTATGAAAGGCGTGGATTTTGAAGAAAAATTGTAAGACTCCTACAAGGCAGGAGGGGTGTAGATTTTTTAAAGATTTTTTTTCAAGACTCTTACAAGTCCTAAAGGAGCCTTTAAAGAATCCCACAAGAACCAAAGAGGCGTGGATTTTTTAAAGAATCCTATAATGCCCAAAGTTGTAGACTTTTTTAAGAATCCCACAAGGCCCAAAGCGTGATTTTTTAAAGAATACCATAAGGCCCAAAGCGTGGATTTTTTAAAGAATCCCATAAGGCCCAAAGCGTGGATTTTTAAAAATTTTTTTTCAAAACTGGTACAAGGAAGAAAGACGTAGATTTTTTAAAGATCTTTTTTCAAAACTCCTACATGGCTCAAAGGCGTAATTTTTTTTAAAGATTTTTTTTCAAAGCTCCTACAAGACCCAAAAGGGTCTTAGACTCAAAGGCTTGGATTTTTAAGTAAGAATTCTAGACTCTTAAACAATGTTTGTCAGAAATTTTTGCAGGGCTAACCTACCTCAAGAGGATTTATTTGAAGTATAAGTAATGGATATGATAATTTTAACTCAAATCCAGTGAGTTAACCGGTAGAATTCGAATGCGGATAACCCCCTGGATTTCATCATTTCATGTTTTCATAGAACAAGAATTCGCCCGTCATTGCATATTAAAAAATGAATAGATATTTTACAAAATTTATTTATTTATTCAAACTCATTTGTGTAATACAAGGTCTTTAAGACCATGAAATCATATTACATAGCTAGCAAAACCTGAGTATTTAATACTTTGTTATGGTTACCACCTTATGCGGTACTGTGGTGTGTATCCAGCTGCTCAGGGGAGCTTTTTGCTCAGGGTCGGTTCCAACCCTGACACCAACAGTCCAAGGGACCTAACAATTAAAAAAAAGGGGACATATTACAACATCAAAACAAACAAAAATACAAACACTGCATACACCGGTGACAAGGGTGCTTGGTGGAAATTGCACCCACACTTGGCCCACCCAACCTTGACCCTTATGTCCAATAATCGTTAAATATCTTAAGGGCCCCGCATTCCACTAACACTTACCACGCAATTTACACCCTATATTCCCCCAAGAGTTTACAAATTAGCACATCATATCGACTATTAACACTTACACATATAAATAATTTATTGACATATCGAGAGTTGACTTAATCCTAACAAATAAATATTTGAACAATGTTGACTTTAAAATTCCTAACACCTGAATCTGTCTTTATGTGAGCCAATCGCTCGGGCTACTACAGTCTACGAAGAGTACATAAAAATTTTTGCCAAACTGGCCACTTTAAGCATCTACTCCCTCCCTAATAGAGCTCTGTTAAGGGGGTATTATGGACGTTACCTTATGTCCAAAATTACCAATAAACTGGAACTCTCCCTTCGTATGACGGTCTAACCCTACGCTCAGGTATATAACCGGGCGTTAGAAATTTTCACAATATAAAAATCTTAACCTAAATTCTATACACTAAGGACAATCACACTTAAACTACAGACAATTACATTAAATTAAACTAGTCAGTATAAAATTTTGGTGTCATTCCATTTTTCATTCAAATTAATCATTAATCAAAATTCTCTTCTTTTTTTCCAGGCCGCAGGAGGAAGATATATATATATGCCGCTTGGCCGCACCAACCGTTCAGGACTCGGTAAGTTTTAATAATACAAATTATTACCTGGAGATTCTGTACTTATATATTTTCTTTTCTTTCCAGATATTGATGATCTTTTTGACCTTTTCGGCATCAGACCTACCGAGCCGACCACTGTTTGAATACCGGTGCTTTGGCGGACCGGGGCTTGGCCTCACTCATGGACTTTCTGGGCAGCAGCGCTTTTTATATAAAAAATTTGCTGACCTCCTCCACCGAAAACTTGGAGGGGTCAGATATCTAGCCGTCTTTTGTTGGGGTGTTATCTTAAAAGAAAAAACACAACATCGAAACACCAAAAAGACATACACTATTAGAACAACAGAAACTTACGAAATTTTGGTCACACCCACACATACACAACAATCGGCAAATAAAAATAAAAAAATTACGAAAACTTTAATTCCACTATCTTGGTGTTTTTATGGGATCACTTTTTTAAATTTTAGCTTAGAAAAATTTTTCCTTGCCCGTTTACCAAAACTTTAATGGCGAATTTTTCTGTCCGTTACCCCTTTTATACGGCAGCCATTGGACGCAATCTTCCCACTTTTCCTTTTTTTTTGTTCTCCCTTGTTTATTCTCTTCCTCTTTGATCGCACTTAGCGAGCCCTATCGTTACCCATGGTTGCATATGATCTTAGTACCATGTACTAAGAGGAACATTGGCAGCACCTTGACACCCAACCGTATCCGGTTCATTCATTTTTTTAAGATCGGCTGGAGCGGTAATTACAAATGTAAATTCTCGCTCAGCCGATAATACAGAAAATTAATCTTTCGCAATCGCGGTACGCACGCAACAAAACTTCGCCATTTTCACACAAAAAGTGAGAAAATGGTGATGTGCGTTACTGGATTGTAACATTTTCCTGCAAAGCATCAGGATAAAATAATCAATTACAAAAGAAGAATGGATTTTGATCCACACAAAAAAAAACACGCTGCTGTGCTCCCACATTGACTTGGATATATGGGTAAGTATATTGAAAATTTCATTTATAATAATTTTATAGACATAGAATAAAATAACATATTTTAATTAATAAAATTTTCTTTTCAGAAAAAATGGGTACGTATTTCCACAATGAATGGCCATGTGGGGTGGCTCAGCCTACAGGGTTAGTGTGAGTGTGTGTGTATTTACGCATCATACCACCGCTTATCACCATTGACAACAATGCCGGTCACACATACGTGTGCCGGCAACAACTACAACGGTTTGGTGCCGCTCCAACGAGCAGAACGTCGCCGTCGCAGCTGGTTTGAAAAAAAAAAACACATACACAGCAACAATAAATGTGTGAACGTCATCTTCATACCATTTGTATGAAGATTGAGAAACAGGTAATTATATTCTTTATATTCTTACTATTAGGGCAAATGTTTATTTAATTTTCTTTTCCTTTCAGGTAAATTCAAGATTCGCGTTCGTGAAGTACCATTTGGGAAATATCTGTTTTTTTCTTATTTATTGCGCAATTGACGTGCGACGACAACAAGAAATGATCGCCATTCAATTCACAATGGACAATCTGTCTTTGCCTGTGGCGGCGTTAATAGAGGAATGCTCTTCGGTGTTGTGTTCCCCAGGTAAGTTTTGTGTGTGAAAAACTTGAACGTGAAAAATATACAAATAAGAAACAATGATTCTTGTGAGCAAAGATTTGCGGTGGCCACTAAATACACTTAATTGTGCACAAAAGAAAAACTTGTTATCGTTGTTAAAATTTGTGCATTGTGGCTCAGGTAATAGTGGAAATCTTTGCGTTGTAGATAATCCAACAACAATCGTGTGGCTCTGTCCAAATGGTGGTAGTTTGGAGTGAGTATGCGTTTTTTTTTTGTTTATGTGTTGTTTATGTTTATTTGTTTTGTCTATGACTGGAATTTTTGTTTACGATTGTGTTGTTGTATTCTAGAGACGACTCTTTTACGAAAATAGGAAAATGAAAAACAATTTCTTGGTGAAATGTTCCTTTATGAATATTTTAATTTTTACAGAAAGATAATTTATCGCCAGTTCATACAATTTTACAAATTTATTTTGCGTCAAAACAAAACATTTGTATTTTCTGTGCCAAACTAATTTATGTTTTTGTGTTTTTATTTCAGTATTTTTTTTTCCCAATTGAATGCTATGAAAGTGCTACAATGAATCTGCCAGCATGAAGGAACAGTTTTTCGTGACCTCATCGACTTTTTTACATCACCACACAACAACGTTCCCCTGTGGATCATAAACCTTCAGGTAAGTCTTGTTTACTTTTTATTTTTGTGAGTTAGAAATATTGCGGGAAATGCAAGGAGAAATAAAAAATACTATTAAAAACATTTTGCCAATAAAAAAGATGCATGGAGCATTTAGTTTTAGGCAACAATTACGTGGCGTAATTGTTTAAAAAAAAATTACATAGAGTAGCCGAATGTTAAAAAAAATAAAAGAAGCAATTATGTTCAAAAAAATACGCGAAGTAGTTGCTTGTTGTGGAATGAGGTTGATTTAAAGGTGTTTTGGAATTCAGGTATTCCATCTCTATAATTGATTTATAATATTTTGCTAACGTTCACCGAAAGGAATAATTTGTAAATTATTCTATTTTTTTAACTAGATTGTACAATTGGCATTCAGAATCATTCATGGGCTCTCGGGTAATAGAAGAAATATAAAAAAAATAATCTCATTTAAGAATTATTTGAGTTGTTGATCATAAAAATAAGGGTTTGCTGGAGTTGGAGATATCTTTCAGTAGCTCAACGTGGGGAACTCCCACACCCTGAAGTCTCATAAGCCGGGCATTCAATTCTGTGCTAAATTAGAATATAAGACATTGGTCGCTAGATAAAACATTTACTTTCTTTTGCAAAATTGTAAGCAAGATAATAATCTCTAAGCATAAATAATCATAGTCAGAATAATACCTATATAAAAAGGGGACTGTCCACAGCACAAAAAATTTATGGTATAAATGAAATGAGTCAATAAACTCCAGATATAATTACAAATAGTCATATAGTTTGATAAAATTGGACGTTTACGACACAAAATTATAAATCTATATTGCACTATTATTATATCACAGATTTATTGCACACTTCCTACACCTTAATATCTTTGGCATGATAATTACCAAGGGGTTTTCCCTGCAGAGTCTCCAACTCATACATGTTATTACCTATGGGTTTAACAATTCTGCATTTTAGGAATTTCTTACAAAATTTGGCATTTACGTTATTTTTGAAATCAGAGAGCATATGATTCCGTCTATAAACCTCTTGTCCAGGTAGGAACTTGACAAGTCTGGCTCTTTGATCGTACCGTTTTGCACTATTTTCGTACGCGTTATGTAGATTCTTTTGGACCTTTTCTCTCATCAGCTTTAATTTGTCGGTTTTGTTCATTTGCAAAATTTGATGGTCAGTTAATGATTGGAGCCGCCTAGCTAATTTGTAATCTGTTCCGCTCGTAAACATATTATAGCCAAACAACGCAAAGAAAGGATTCACACCGGTTGCTGAGTGAACTGAAGTACGCAAAGCCTGTTCAATTTCAGAAAGATACAGATCCCAATCACGGTGATCCGACTGAACATAGGTCCTTATCGCCGCCAGTACAGACTGGTTTACTCGCTCTGACGCGTTTGATTGGGGAGAATAGTAAGCCGTTGTTATGTGATTGATTTTGTATCTTTTGATCATTTCTTCGAACATTTTCGACACAAACTGCTTCCCATTATCACTATGTATTATTTCTGGCACTCCGAATGTATGAAATACTTGATCTTCCAGAAATTTTATGACGTTTTCGGCCGTTGCTTCCTTCATTGCATGCAGGAAAATAAATTTTGTAAAATGGTCCATTACTATAAATATGTAGGAGTTTCCATTCTTTGATCTAGGGTATTTGCCTAGGAAATCAATATACAGCTTCTGAAATGGTCTGTCGGTCACTACTTCATTTCCAATTGTAGGGCGCATATTTTGATTGGATGGTTTTGTTTCCTTGCAAATCTGGCAGTTATTTACATATTGCTTGACTTGGGATGTCATTTTTGGCCAATAATAAAATGTTTTTAAGCGGTTTAGGGTTTTGTATATGCCATCGTGGACAGCTTCCGTAAAGTTATGCGATTTTTCGATTAGTGCGTATGTTATTTCCTGCGGTATCCAAAGCTTCCACTCAAATTCCGTAATGTCTGGATCGCAATTCTTAGTTCTTTTATAGACTTTTTCATTTTCTATGCGGAGATCTGGTAACTTTTCTTTATTTTGCTTTATGGTGTTTAACAACTCGACATATTCCTCACTTTCAAATGCTGTGGTCTCGAAATCTAAGAGTTCTTCCTCACTAATCTCTTCAATTACGACATCAGAGTCAACCGGCATCCTTGATAAAGTATCCGCCACTACATTTTCCGAACCTTTACGGTGTTCAATGGTGAAGTCATACGCTTGGAGCTGTAAGGACCAACGAGCTAGTCGTCCGCTCAAGTCCTTTAATGACATAAGCCATTTAAGACTGGCGTGATCCGTAATGATCGTAAATTTCATAAGTTCGACATATGGTCGAAATCTCTTCACCGCCAATACCGCTGCCAAGCATTCTTTTTCCGTCACAGAATAATTTCTCTGGGTAGAATTTAATTTCTGTGAATAGAAAGCAATGGGATTTTCTCCGCCGTCGTCATCCTTCTGGAATAATACCGCACCGATTCCGTATTCCGATGCGTCACATTGGATAAAAAACTCCCGTCGGAAATCTGGGTGGCGGAGCACTGGTGCTGATGTAAGGGCTTTCTTTAAAGTTTTGAAAGATTCCATAGCCTCGGAATTTATATTGAACTTTTGTCCTTTTTTGAGGGTATCTGTTAGAGATGCAGATATTGAAGCGAAGTTCTTAATGAACCTGCGATACCATCCGGCGGTTCCTAAGAAGCTTCTTACTTCTCGTGGACTTCTGGGTACAGGTATATTCAGGATCGCACTGATTTTATCCGGATCAGTTTTCAAACATCCATTTCCAATGATAAAGCCGAGATATTTCAGTTCGCGAAAACAAAATAATGATTTTGTCATGCCGATCGTAAGATTTGCTTTTCTCAGACAATCGGCCACTTCGCTCAACAGTCTTAAATGATTGTCGAAGTCATCCGCAATAATTAGAAGATCATCCAAGTAAATGAATACGTTGGACTTTAATCTGCCAGGAATAACCTTATCCATCAGACGGCAAAGACGTTGCGCCGCATTACAAAGTCCAAACGGCATTACTCTAAACTGATATAGAGGGCGACCTGGTACTGTAAAAGCTGTATATGGTCTGGCTTCTTCTTCGAGCTCAATTTGCCAGAACGCATATTTCAGGTCGACGCTGCTAATATAGTGCGTTTGGTCGATTCTGCTCAATATCCCATCAATATTCTGCAAAGGATACGCATCCTTTATAGTAAGCGCATTTAATTTTCGAGCGTCTAGACAAAATCTGTTTTTCCCGGGTTTTCGAACCACCGTTGTTCTATTGCTCCATGGGGAGTCACTCTCCTCAATTACGTTAAGAGCGAGCATGTTGTCTATCTCCTTGTACACAATATCCTGCACGGCCGGCGATAATGGATAATGCTTATCCTTTACAGGATTTGCGCCTTCAATTAACTTTATGGCATGTTTCTCTAGACTTGTGCATCCTAATCCTTTCTCCTCGAATGTGTAAAATTTGCTTACAACTTCCGACAACCTGATTTTTTGGTCTTTAGTTAGGTCATGCATGTTGGCATTTGCGTTTTTGGATTCCCCATGAATTTTTATTTGGAGGTCTAAATTGACTTCTTCCAATGAAAAGATTTCTGGGGCTATCTCAAATAATCTCCAGAAATCAGTCCCTAAATATAAATCCTGCTGTAGGTCGGGACACAAATACAAAATAATTTCTCTTGTTTTATCCTTGTACTCTATGTTCACTACAATCTTGCCTAAAATTCTATGTCTTTGCCCTGAAGCTGTACTTATCGCTGAAACATATGGAAAAATTTGCAGGTTTAATTCTTCGGCGATTTCACGGCACTGTTTTCCTAATAGGCTAACCGTTGCACCTGAATCTAAAAGCCCTTTAACCTCTTTTCCTTCGATTTTAACGCTAACGTAAGGTCTAGGATCTTTAGTCTCTTGAAAACGCTCAATTGCATCGCATATAATCCTTTTCCTCATTCGGTTTTCCTTTTGATATTTTCTTAATTTCATAATTCTTATTTTACTTTTTTCTTTCTTGCTAGTATTTTTAGTCGGATTCGGGTTCTCGTTATTGCTTTCACCGAAAATTCTTGCTTTAACATTTTCGTAGTTTTGTTGCCTAGATTCTAAGGGTAAATAATGTCTTCGTGAGGCATAATCCTGAGTATTTCCCGAATCTGAATCTAATTTATTGGCGGGTTTACTATCTTGGAGGGCTCGGTGGAACGATGGTTTCCCGTCGCAACCATGTTCTTCCGGGAGTTTTCCGAAGCGCAGTTCGAGCATTTAGGGGTTATTGTGTTTGGTCTGCCACATTTAAAACAAAACAAACCCCTTTGTGTTGCAGGACAGTCTCTAAAACCGTGACCTGGTTTTTGGCAGTTCCAACAGAGAATTGGGTTGCTCGTGAAAGCTGCAACTTCTACCACTTCATCTATTTCTTCAACCCTATTCAATTCTAACTCCTCTTCCTGCAAAGCACTAACCCGAATAGGTCTATTTACGGGCGGAAATTGTGTTGGTGGTGGTGCTACGCTATCCTTTTTGAAGAATGTACGTTCTATTTCTAAGCATTCAATCCTCAACTGTTCCACAGAATTCACTGGCAACGCATAAACTATGCTAGAAAGATTTTTCCTTAAATTTTTCTTTACTAGAGAAATCATTTCGTATTCTGACACAGGCTTCTCTAGTTTAGAACGCATCAAATTCACATCATGGAAGAATGAATCGATTGATTCTCCCGGCATTTGTTTCCGTTCCAATAAATCCCTCATAGCCTCGAAACATGTCCGCCTAGTCTTAAATCTTTCCGTTAACCCGTATTTGAGTGATTCCCAATCAGCTATGTTTGAATTTCTTTGTTGGAGCCAAAACCATTCATAGGCTGGTCCTGACAAAAGAATATGAAATTCATTTAAAATCTCCTCCCAGGCTAAACGGTAGTGTCTCTGGAAATATTCCAACCTATATATGAAATCTTCGACCGACAAACTATTCGGCCTTCCCGAAAAATTCAATCCGAATCTTTCAATTCTTATTCCCATATTGGGCCCCAGTCTATAAATTGACGGTGTTACAGTGGCATGACGATTTGAGTGTGTCTGGTATTCGGTGTTGATAGGTGGTGGCTGAGTAGTGGGTGAAGGCTGAGTAGTGGGTGGAGGAACGTGGGGTACCTGGGTTTGATCCGTTGAGGATCTATCTATAGATAGCCTGGCGATTACTTCATTCAAATGTTGTATCGCAGCATGTACTTTCCCCATTTCCTGACTTACGCTCTCCTGAACTAATGACCTTATACTATTGCGAGCGTCACTTACACTTTCTTGGACCATCCCCCTTATGAGCTGATACAGCTCGTTAGGCGGATTTACTTGATCAGGTTGCATGCTCAATGGCCTTTGGATACCAGAGTTAGGCAAATTATTGGGGTTATTAATAGTCCCGGACAGATCTCGAACAGTATTATCTCTATTTTCCATTGTTTCTTCACCTCTTTTCTTTTTATTCTTCGGCTTTGGTGTTTGAGTCAAAAACCTGCTACTATCAAACGCTAAAACTCTATTTCTTTTACTTTGTCTTTTCCCTGATGTATATTCACTCATTAGAATGATCAAAAATGCATAAAATTCAGAAAACACAATATCAAAAATTAAATATCTATTTAAATGCGAACCGTAAATGGAAGGACAATATCAGTAAATTTAAAACAGAAAACGGAAATTTAACTAGTATCTATTTATCAAAAAAAAACACAAAATTTAAAAATAAATATAGAAATCTATCAATAAGTAAAAATAATTATAACATAAAAATCAATTCAAACACAACACAATAAGAACTTATGATAACACAAACATAAATAACATAAATACGAATGAACAAAAAAAATATCAACTAAAAATAAAAAATATGTATATGTATATATTTTAAACTGAACCGAACTAGACAGATATTACAACAATATTACTTTCTTCAAAATATGAGGTAATAGGATGTGTTTTCAATTGTCTGGCAAGTGTGTGGTTTTGATTTATATAATTTTAAGCTTTTTTACGAAAAGTGTCCTTTTAGGTTGTCACGGTGTATTGTACGACGTGGATTTAAACAAGTGGACAAAACATATTACATGTAAATAGACATTACGGCAATTTCCTAATTCTTGCGAAGGAAAAAGATCTCGTATTTAGAGTAATAAAATACAATGCTCTTGCGACTCACTTCGTCCCAGAGGCTATTGCACTTATTCCCTTATGTCTACTACAGACTATTTAATCTACTCTAAATACAAACAAAAACGTAAACAGTACAGGTCATCACACAATACATCATTTGTTACAGTAGACGAACAAGAGCTATTGCACTTGACCCATTCGATTTGGAAACGAATATCCTAATTTTTCTCAGACTTACAGCTAATATTGCACATTTAACACGACTTCGATCACGAAGTTGTGGTTGCGATATTCGCTATGCAAGAAAAATGCGATATTCGTTTTTTAATCTATTTTCTTAAATGGTCTATTGAACAGTGCCTCGGTGTTATTGCACTGGATATTTCGATTATTATCGTTTCAGCTTGGGCGCCATATTGTTATGGTTACCACCTTATGCGGTACTGTGGTGTGTATCCAGCTGCTCAGGGGAGCTTTTTGCTCAGGGTCGGTTCCAACCCTGACACCAACAGTCCAAGGGACCTAACAATTAAAAAAAAGGGGACATATTACAACATCAAAACAAACAAAAATACAAACACTGCATACACCGGTGACAAGGGTGCTTGGTGGAAATTGCACCCACACTTGGCCCACACAGCCTAGACCCTTATGTCCAATAATCGTTAAATATCTTAAGGGCCCCGCATTCCACTAACACTTACCACGCAATTTACACCCTATATTCCCCCAAGAGTTTACAAATTAGCACATCATATCGACTATTAACACTTACACATATAAATAATTTATTGACATATCGAGAGTTGACTTAATCCTAACAAATAAATATTTGAACAATGTTGACTTTAAAATTCCTAACACCTGAATCTGTCTTTATGTGAGCCAATCGCTCGGGCTACTACAGTCTACGAAGAGTACATAAAAATTTTTGCCAAACTGGCCACTTTAAGCATCTACTCCCTCCCTAATAGAGCTCTGTTAAGGGGGTATTATGGACGTTACCTTATGTCCAAAATTACCAATAAACTGGAACTCTCCCTTCGTATGACGGTCTAACCCTACGCTCAGGTATATAACCGGGCGTTAGAAATTTTCACAATATAAAAATCTTAACCTAAATTCTATACACTAAGGACAATCACACTTAAACTACAGACAATTACATTAAATTAAACTAGTCAGTATAAAATTTTGGTGTCATTCCATTTTTCATTCAAATTAATCATTAATCAAAATTCTCTTCTTTTTTTCCAGGCCGCAGGAGGAAGATATATATATATGCCGCTTGGCCGCACCAACCGTTCAGGACTCGGTAAGTTTTAATAATACAAATTATTACCTGGAGATTCTGTACTTATATATTTTCTTTTCTTTCCAGATATTGATGATCTTTTTGACCTTTTCGGCATCAGACCTACCGAGCCGACCACTGTTTGAATACCGGTGCTTTGGCGGACCGGGGCTTGGCCTCACTCATGGACTTTCTGGGCAGCAGCGCTTTTTATATAAAAAATTTGCTGACCTCCTCCACCGAAAACTTGGAGGGGTCAGATATCTAGCCGTCTTTTGTTGGGGTGTTATCTTAAAAGAAAAAACACAACATCGAAACACCAAAAAGACATACACTATTAGAACAACAGAAACTTACGAAATTTTGGTCACACCCACACATACACAACAATCGGCAAATAAAAATAAAAAAATTACGAAAACTTTAATTCCACTATCTTGGTGTTTTTATGGGATCACTTTTTTAAATTTTAGCTTAGAAAAATTTTTCCTTGCCCGTTTACCAAAACTTTAATGGCGAATTTTTCTGTCCGTTACCCCTTTTATACGGCAGCCATTGGACGCAATCTTCCCACTTTTCCTTTTTTTTTGTTCTCCCTTGTTTATTCTCTTCCTCTTTGATCGCACTTAGCGAGCCCTATCGTTACCCATGGTTGCATATGATCTTAGTACCATGTACTAAGAGGAACATTGGCAGCACCTTGACACCCAACCGTATCCGGTTCATTCATTTTTTTAAGATCGGCTGGAGCGGTAATTACAAATGTAAATTCTCGCTCAGCCGATAATACAGAAAATTAATCTTTCGCAATCGCGGTACGCACGCAACAACTTATAATAAAATACAAAAAAATTAATTAATTCAACAGCCAGCCATTGTCATTTTAGAGATTTGTAGGTCGGATGTTATGGTATTACGAGCATGCTTTTATCGAGAACACTCATATTCTTCTTTAATTATAACTAAAAGGACAGCTTAAAATATCCTACTTATGGAATTTATAGTTAAAATCTATTATTTTACTTAGAAAGGCGTACTTCAAAATCAAGTTAGTCAAGTGGCAGTTGTACATAGTTAAGATATCGGAGTTATCGATAAGTCAGTAGTAGACTTAGCTATCCCTATTATCAACACGTGCGGTCATAGGCGATAGATGGAGGAAGACGGAATTTTGCACTAAAAACCTATCAAAAATAGTTGAAATAATTAATTTTTTGGTATTTTATAACTCACATTTAAACCGTTTCTCCTCTCAAGTTGGAGGCTACACCAGAAAATCGCACTTATAATCGCCTTGGAACATCGCAAGGCCATAACAATAACTTACATCGATTGTCAGGAAGAAAATAGCACCAGCACGATGAATTTTGAAAACGAGGATCGTCTGCAGTTCGAACAGCTAACTGGGGGTAATATAATTGAGAAGCCTCCCATTTATGGCAATACTGGAGAGTAAGTTTATCAAAGTTTCCAATTCTAAAGACCACAAACTTATTCCATTAACTTCCTTTCATCTGCAGGCATTTACTATTCCTGTCGGGAAAATACATTAATGTTTACTCCACAATATCTGGCCAATTGGTACGCAAATTGGAGGGTGCCTCGACGACATTAGTCGATTATTGCTATGAACTGGACAATGAAGATATTGTTGTGGCCTGCAGTCAATCAGGGGAGATATTGACGTGGGAATGGAAAACTGGGGAATTAAAAAGCAATATCCAAATGAACATGAATTGTAGCCATGGTGGTGCAGTTACAAATTTCCAGATTTTAAATTTGTGGGGTAATTCCGCATTGCCATATGCTTTTGTATGCTTGAAAGTACCGAAGAGTAATTGTGTGTGGCGCCTTCTTGATCGTACATGCGGTAAATTTGTACCGGTACCGATGCAAATGAGACTGACGTGAGTAAAAACAATTCAATTTGTAATGAGAAACATTGTTAAAATGTGTCTGTTTTCAGGCCAAGGACACCTTTAATGGCAGTGGATAGCAAAAACTTTCCAAATTTGGTAATCGTCCAGGGTTATTATGTCTATTTCGTCAACTACAAAACCTGGAGCTTTAAAAGGTAAGTTTCAAAGTATAGAAATATGTGTAAGAAAGAAAAGCTCTTGGTGGAGAAAGGATTGACCCATCTAAATGCGAGGAAAGATTGGAAAAATCTTAATGGGGGTCAAAAGCGACTATTTCGAGCATTTTCGGCTGTAAATCTTTTTATTTAAGTTTAAATTTTTCCTCTTTTTTTCAGATTTAATAATGCCCATAAAGTTCCTATTACCGTCCTGCAAAAACATCCAAAAGAAGAATGTTTTGCCACTGGTGATGAGACTGGCAAAGTATTCCTATGGCGTGAATTTACCAGCAAGCATGAAGTGAAAACTGTAAGAATTTAAAACTATGAAATAAGTTCTTTCTATTTAAAATTAATTTATTTAATTATATTCCCCATAGTCCCTTTATCATTGGCATCACACCAAAGTTACCAGCATCTACTTTACTGTGTCTGGTGCAAATTTCTTCAGCAGTGGCGAGGAAGCTGTACTCGTAAAATGGAATGTAGAAAATCCAGAATACCGTCAATTTTTACCACGCATTTCATCGAAGATACAACATGTAGTTGTTAGTCCTGACAACGCGCAAATTGCCGTATGCACAGTTGACAATGGTGTACAATTTGTTGGCACAGAGAACAAGATTTTAAGTAATCTTCAAGAATTCACTTATATTGTGGATGATAAAACGGGAAACAGTAAATTCCCAGTGGGCTTACGTTTAAATCCTCGTACCAATACTTTGGTTTTGAATGGACGTACAGGTTCTTTGCAGTTCTACAATACCTATACCAAGAATTTCCTTTACAATGTACGTAAATTTGGCAATATTTTAGAAAAGAAATGTACATTTTTAATTGTGGTTTTTGCTATGATTTTAGTTGAATATTGTCAATCAAAACTTGCTGTCCACGGAAAGTGATCGTATTTTGTATGACATACGTGTAACAAAGGCCGCTTTTAATATTGATTGGCTGGCAACTGGCGAAGTGTTTAATGACAACGAACACTTGCCAGAATTACGTTTAAAATTTTGGAAATATCAAGAGGAAACTCAACGGTAAATAAACCAAATCTTAACACCTTACTTAGCATATTTAACAATTATACTTATTTTTCAGTTATGCCCTAAATACCAACATTGAGTTGCCCCACGAAGGTGGTTTCAAGGCTATAGAATTTTCCAATGACTATCAAGTGGATAATTTATTGTGTGCCACAGTGGGCGAAGATAATGTCATTAAAATGTGGTGTTTAGATGATTCCGATAGCATCTATAAGGAAGGCAAATCCTGGTTCTGTATAGCACAAACTTCCTATAGAAATCTACCAGTGGAATCTATATCATTTTCACAAGATGGTTCATTGCTGGCTGCTGGATATGGCAATACTTTGTGTATTTACAAATCGGAGGATTTGAAATTGAAAGCTGCCCTAACGGGGGCCAATGGCATGGATGGTTGCGTTACGAAAGCCCAAATTCGGCTACCCACAAAAAATGTGAACGGCTCTAAAGTCGATCTAAAAGAAAAGCGTGATAAATTAATGAAACTATTTTCAAATTTATTGGAATTGAATGAAGAGACCTTGGTAAAGGAATTGCAGAAAACCGTAGAAGATAATCGCAAATCTTCTGAAGAAAATCTGAAACCGGCTGGGAAATTGGATGATAAACAAAAAATGGCTTTATATTCAAGAATTTTACAAATGCATGAATTGAATCTTTTCCAAAAGGTTATGATTTATCAAAAATTGGGAATTGGTTGTAAAGTTCATCCCCAAATGACTACAAAGGTTATTGATTATATACAAAACTCCATCGGTCAACGTAAAAAGCAAAAACGTTTACAAACATTGTACGGAAAAACGCATCGCATGACCAAGAGTGAACGTTTCAAGGCTAAATATCGTTTGGAACAACACACAAAACGTCAGCGTAATTATGATGTAGCAATTACCAACAATTTGGTTCCTCTACTGAGCCTTCTGAACCTGGATCAAAATACCCAGCCACCCTTAAAGAAGAATACGGAAAAGGAACCTATTGTAAATAAGGTGGTATCGGATCCACCAAGGCCCACAATTGCAGAAATAAAGCATGTGCAATTTGCTGCCGGTGAATATGGACATCTGGTGGCCGTATGCACTGAACGTCGCATACTTATATGGAATTTGTTGACATTACGTTTGCAATCTGTGTTGAAATTGAGTGCAAAACATGTTACCTTTGATGCTCAAACTAATCTTATGGCCGTTGTGACCAACAATGATGAATGTAAGTTTAGGATTTATTTAATATCTTCCTATTAGCCCATTCTCATAATTCAAATTCTTTTTCTTCAACACAGTACACATTTTCCAACCAAATGTTCCTTTGCCCATCTATCAACGTCGCAATATGCCCCAACTGTACGGCATGGCTTGGATACCCAGACGTTATCCCAAGCAACGTTCCATTAATTTAGATTGGCAGGCTCAATCTACTTTGTACTTTTTAACAGATGATCAGGTATATTTTGCTAATTTAATATTCTTAGTTTTTTTGTTTATAAAAACATGTCTTTTTTGTAGAAAATTATTTATTTGAATTCACCCACGGAAAAACATCTTGATATTCCTCCTCCCATTACTTTCAATAAAGCTGCATCAGCATCAATGCAAATTTCTACGTTTGGTACATTTGCTGCTAAATCCATTTCGGAAACACATACTACCTCTAGTAGACAATCTGGTCCTTTGGTATTGGGAAATTCCGATAAGACAGCTGTGAAAACGGTAAGTCAGCTTGAGAAATTTTTGATGTTATATTTAAAAAATGGAAAACGTAATTTTGGAAGATATTGTTTAGTGATAAGTGTCTATATACTGGGCTTGGACTGTTTCAAGACGATTTTTTAAAAAAAACTAAGATGACATTTTTAAAGAAAATATACATATAATTGAAATGGAAATTTTAATTTTGGAAGACATTGTATACCGATAAGTGTCTAAACTCTGTTTCAAGATAATTTTTAGAAAGTTTCAAGATAATTTTTAGAAAGTCCTTCAACCAAGATAACATTTTGAAAGACCCCATCTAAAATATCGGAATTGATACAAGTTTTTAACAATTTGCTCTTCCTGCGGCTTTATAGATAAATGGCCCATGGTCTCTCTCAGAACATGAAATTCTGTCAATCTTCCCTAAGGCAGTGAAATCGACTTTAAAATTGACCTCCCTCCAATTCACAAATTATTGAGCGTACTTTCCGTCATCTGGCCAATTCAATCGAAAAGGAATGAGGTCTGTTTTTATTGTACTGTGAAAAAGCCGAATAATGGCCACCACATACAGACTTGGTTACCACATACATCCTCTTCACGAAATTTTGCATAACCTAATTGGAATGTGGCTGCCCTATGTCCTCGATAGCCCTACGATGACCTTGAATCGACTCTGGGATTTTGGCGTAAGTCTCATCTATATGGTGGCCTCAAAAAAAAAAAAAAAAAAAAAAACATCGAGGTGTAAAATCACAAAATCTCGGTGGCCTCATTGTTACTTTTGATGATCTTCATAAAATCACTTTGTGAGTGATTTATGAATGTCAGTACGTCTGTCCGTCCGTCCGTCCGTCTGTCCATATATTTTTGTGAACAAAATGCTGGTCGCTTTTATTATCCGATTGAGATGAACTTTTCCAAACGATACTTGTTTGGTCCAAGGACGAACCCCTTTTGAAATTGGTGGGAATCGGCTCAGATTTAGATATAGCTCCTATATATATCTTCAACCGACTTCGGGTTAATTATGCACCAAATAGAAAATATCATTGGAATTTTGGCATATCAGGCAGAATTTTGTCTAGAAGAAAGTAAATCAAATTTGGAGAAAATCGGTACAGATATAGCTCCCATATACAGGTTGAGATAAAAAAACTGCAACAAAGTCAAACGCCATAATTTTTATTTATTTTTTTTAAATTTTATTAAATGAAAGCAAAAAATGTCTGAAATAGCATCAAATTTTAGAATAAGTTTAGATTTGTTCGAATTGGTCACCTTTGTAACGAATTATGGAGTAACACGCTCTCCGAATGTTGCTCTACGGTATTTTGGCCCATTCCCGGTGAAGCGCTTGCTTGAGGTGATCGACACTTTGGTATTTTTTAGTTCCAACCTTGTTTTCAAAAATACTTCAGACACAATAGTCCAATGGATTGGTATCCGGTGGTTTTGGTGGCCATTGTGCGCTGGAAATGAAGTGAGGAACCTCATTTTGTAACCATTCTTGGGTGGCGCGTGCTGAGAGCGATGGTGCTGAGTCCTGTTGGAATGTCCAAGGTCTGCGGCCAAAATGTTTGCGTGCCTAAGGCTTTAATACACATGCCAGAATATATTCGCTATAATATTCGCCGTTTATTCTGATACCACGGTCGATTAATACGAGCGGAGAGCGACCATCGGCTGTTATGGCGGCCCACACCATCAACATGGCCGGCACTTGAGTTCTGGTGGCCAACCGAAGGTGCACATTTTCAGCTGACCTCTTTGGCAAGTAAACACCATAATTTTGTTTGTTTGCAAACTGCTGGACAACGAATGTTTTCTCATCGGAGAAAACCAAATTAGGCAGTTCACCACTTTCGGCCAAGCGAAGCAAATCTTTAACTCTTTTGAGTCTATGCATAGTGGTGTAGGGTATCATATAGTCGGTCCCGTCCGACTTACTGGCTTTTTCTTGTCGATATCAGTTTAAAAAAAGTAGAAAGTTTTGACCTTCAAAAAGATCATCGTTTGAAACATATATTTTTTTTCAATATGCGGCTATAATTGGTAATTTTTTCTTGTGCGTTCCAAAAAATCCCAATAATTAAAATACATTTTCTTTCTTTTCATTTACACTTTATTTTCAAATAAATTAATTCAACTTATAACCTACGACAAAAAACATTAACTTAAATCTATGAAGTACAAAGGCATAAAAGTTTTGTTTCATGTCTTTACAAATACAAATTCTTTGGGATCTATAAATGAATACCATGGTAGTTGCTACTAACTTTTATGTTACAAGATAAAATGAAGGCATTTCGCAAAGGGAACTTCTTTGGAACACTTTCTTTTAATCCAAAATTTATTTGGGAACATTTAATCAACTGTTTTTGCTGTTGGTAGTTGGTGTCTTGTTGTTATCTGAGGTTTTAACGAAATTATAATTTAAACTTTGGCTGAGTCTGGAAAAAAACGAAAATAAAATCGAAAGAAGAAAAAACGAAAATAAAATCGAAAGAAAAAAAAAAAACAAAAAGAAAAACAAAATAATGAAATTAAAATTCAATTATCGAAATAAAATCATTTATGCGGCGATTTTGTGTTAAAATTTTGCTACCAATTACAGATTATCTAGTTGTGCATAATTTTTGTTTAGAATTTTGTAAAATATGAGTGCGTGTGTTTGTTTGGTTTCGTATCGTAATGTAATTCTCACTTTTTCACATCACCCAAACGTGGTGCGGTCGGTACTCTTAAATGACGACAGCGCCTCATCATTAGGACGTCATGTTTAAAGTAACGCAAACAATGCCATTGTGGTACTTTGGGCATTAGCATTTCGTGCTGAAAATAGAGTAGACATTGAAAAGACGCAGTGTTATAAATTATTTATATTATTAAATATATTGTCTGGAAAAGTATAATGTGTAGTTATTACAATTGTATTCGATAAATAAAAAAACAATTATATTTGCATTCGTCATCAAGATAATCTCTAGTAAGCTGTTAAGTTTTTTTCTCAAAACTATAATAGTCCTTGTAGATAAATACCCAATTTAAATATTTGGCAAAGTTTTCTTAAGCTTGAATAATATGAAAAATGAATAATAACGGTCCTCATTTTGGCATTGCCACTAGTTTGTTTGGTATTTTAAAGGTTTTGGACCCAATTTTCAACAAAATCAGCTGTAATTTTTGATTGGATTTACATGCAGGAAAAAAACCAGTGTGGATCCACTTTTTATACTGGCCCCATACAACAGTACCACCTTGAGTTTCGGCAATTTGAAGGTTTCGGTACCAATTTTCAATCAACTCAACTTGATATTTCAAGATTCAATATAGATAAAGGCCTAAAATATAAGGGAACTTCCAAATTTCGGTTTTGCGGATAACCGATTAGGTTATAAATCTAGTTTGTGGGCTTAGGGTTATAGCAAGTTCGACACATGGCTACAGAGTGTATACATCATTTCGTTGATTTGTCCAAACTTTGCACCTCCTAATTTTTCTGTCAAGTTTACATCAATATAATATATGGTACCCCTACACATGGTAAAAGAAAATTAAAACAAGTAAGCAAAGGCTACAGTCGAGCGGGGCCGACCGTTGAATACCCTACAACACTATAATAAACGATACAGTTTATATAGGCGAGATACTCGAAAGAATTCCACAAGATATTGTGACAAATAATAAAAGAAAACCATCAGGTTTCGTTCTCTAATTTTCGAATAATAGCAACTTAAACTAATTTCCTCATTTCCAATTTATTGGTAGATGTTGCACGTAAATGGTCTTCCTAGATCTGGAACCAATATTTCCCAAAGACCTATAATCTCTCAGAAGTGGCAAAAAATTAACATTTATTATGGGTTTTTGACTGAAACGCATCTATATGAGATACAGACATTTGACTATATTCTTCAACGAAATCAGCGTTAACGAAATAGTCAGAAGTGCGTCTTTCCTGTATTTGTGAATTCTCCAAAAAGTCACTGGAATGGACATTTTCGTATTTTGTCTACAAAAGTTGGCAAACTCCTTCACACATTGAATATTTTTGGATGACCATCCAAAACTGCTTGGCTTTTGCAATGTCCGGCAACCCCCATAATTACGACCTGCTGACAATTTTGCAGTTTTTTGGTCCATTTCAACCCCTAAATATATGGCGATCATCTCCAAAAAGAATAAGCTTTTATTCTGACCCTCATCTTATCTCCATGCAAAATTTCGTAAGGATCGGGCCATAAATGCGATCTGTATATGATATCCTGATATCCTAACTACTTAGTTTTGTTAGCTGTAGAAATATTACCAAATGTTTAATTCAAAATGAAAATATGCCCAAAATATGACAAAATTGAAAAAATATAAGAAACTTTTACAAAATCAATATTTTCATCTTTAGAGAGATATTTTTATGCGATTTTTTAGACGTTTTTTCTTTCCTGCCAAGAGGTCATTCTGAATTAATGAGAACTGTCGAAATCAGTTCAGCCGTTCTCGACATATAAGTGATCTTTCAAGCATATCTTCTTTGATAGACATCAATATCGCACATATTTTGCTATATATCCGTTTTGTTGGATGTTAACATCAATGTAAAGATCAGAAGTAACCTTGTCATGGCTTTGTGATTTCGCCGGGATTTAAAATATTCGCGGTTTAATGAAAAATTTTGAATTTTTTCAACAAAAAAGATATGGTTTATTTTACCCGCTTAATATTATCCGATGACCACCCAAATGGGTACGCTTTTTGCCAGCCCTAAACTCTATCTACATGCGAAATTCCGCGGCGATTGGTCTATAATTGCGACCTGTAGAGCAAGTGCAAAATCAGGAATTTTTTCAGTTTTTGGTCCATTTCAACCCCTAAATATTATGCGATCATCACCAAAAGAAATAGGGTTCTATTCTGACCCTAGCCCCACTTCCATTTTAAATTTCGTGAAGATCGGACCATAATTGCGACCTGTAGAGTGATTACAAATTAACATGGACAGACGGACAGACGGACGGACGGACATACATAGCTAGATCGACTCAGCTCGGCGAGATAGGAAGATCCATATATACTTTCCTATGTGGGAAATCAATATTTCGTGGTGTTACATAATTTTTGGCCCAATCAAACTTATAATACCCCCAACACATAGTGTTGTAGGGTATAAATACCACATTTAACAGGCCCACAGTGCCTTACTTCGAGTGGTAAATCGTGTCGGAATGTTGAATAATTATACCTCTTATTAAATGGAAAAAAATCACTGATCATTTTCCTCCATAAAAAGTCAAAATCTTCAAAAAAAAAAAAAATAAATAAATAAAAATAATAATAATAAATAAATAAATCTCGAATAAACTGCTCTCGCAGATTGTAATATTTAAATGGAAAATCGACAATATTGGACCACTCCCTCCGGCGCCTTCCACATAAAAGGGTCGTAATATTAAATAATTATAACTCTTATAAAATGCGAAATAATTCACAGACCCTCTTCAAATATTTCTGTCAGAATTATGTCTAGATCACATGTGGAATATATATCAGTCCACACCTTCCGGTACCTTTCGCAAAAAGATCATAATTTTAAAGAAGAAGGAAAGACCTGACACACTTCAATATATGAATTGTAAATTTTTTGTCATCTCCCCTAGAAAGAAAAAGCTTTGGGAAAAGAGAGAAAACTTTGGGGCCCCTATACTGAGGCCTATAATTCGGTTGGGATGATACTACGAATGATACTTTAACTCGAAATTTTATTCAAGCCTTTTTTAGAATTCAGGCCACTTGGAAGGTTTTAGACAAATCTAGAAGTTTTATAGATTACAAAGGGAGAACTAGGAAAGACACAAGTCTTGATTTCTATAGAGTCAATGCCTATCAGGATAGTATCGACCATTTTTTGTATTAAATGGCTAATTTTAAAAATCGATTTGTTTATTATTTGGTCATTTATTCTCATGATTTGTCATGCCCTTAAATATAGCCCACTATGGTTAGGTGTTTCAATCGAACACGTTTGGCCCTTTCATCCTACTAAGAAGAAGTACAGGTAGGATATAGAAATGGAACAATGGAACCTACGTCTGAGAGTAAGTTTAAGGTTTCTATGTCCCATCACCAAAGGACCCTTGTTTGATAATATGGAAATTTCTTGAAAAGGACGGTATTTTAACTTTGTCATTCCGTTTGTAAAATACCTAAATATTCGTAGTAGACCCCATAGAGTATGTAATCAGCATACAATTTTAAGTCGATTTAACGACGTCCGTCTGTCTGTTGAAGTCACGATAAAGCCCACATTATTTGACGTAATGGTTCAAGATTTGGCAGAACAACATGTATTGTATCTATGATGTATAGCCGCCACATAACGGTACGTCCCGATATTCGGAATTTTGATGATTTTCGCCACATTTTTTTCACGGATTTGTCTAAAAAAGTGTATTTGTAAGTCATAATGAGTTCTAGCTTCGGTGGCGTAACATTGTGCGTATCATGATGTGTACGCGATCCCTACGTAAGGGCGTTGGGGTGCATTCGTATAAAAAAATAGGTCCCCGTTGTTGTATGGCCCCATATGAAGGTACCTCCCCATATTCGGTGTTTTGATGATTTTTGCCACATTTTTCCACGGATTTGTCCAAAAATGGGTTTTTGTAGTTCGTAATGGGTTCTAGCTGCTGTGGTGGAACAAAGTATGTATAGGTTTGGTATAGCCTCCACATAATGGTACCTCCGGATATTCAGTATTTTGATGATTTTTGACACATTTTCCCAAGGATTTGTCTAAAAATTGGTATTTGTAGTTCATAAAGGAGTCAAGCACCCGTGGTGAAACATTAAATATTTAGGTCCACGTTTTCCTATAGCGCACATATAAGGATATCCACCGATACTTGGTATTTGGATAATCCTAGTCACATTTACCCACGAAATTGATCCACATGAAGCTACAGAATTGAAGAGTTGAAGCTACAGAATTGAAGAGATGAAGCTACAGAATTGAAGATTTGAAGCTACAGATTTTTTTTTATTTTTCTGACATAGAAAATTCTTCGTGTTTTTTACAGGTAAATTAAAGATGCTATATATAATGAATTAAAGGGCTTGGATGCAAATAAGCTGTTGTTGAGAAATAAATAACAAAATGTATTTTTCCTGAATCCAATTGGAGTGTTTCAAAAAAAGCGGAGAAAGTAATTCTTCATTCGGAGAATAAAAATATCCAGCAGGGGCATTTCAAAATTTAAAATTTTTGTGTTTACAAACAAATTGACGTTTTATATGTTATTCTTTAATTTGATTTTGAAATACTACTTATATGTAGCTCTTTATTAAATATTCATAGGTTTCACTTGCATCTGATAGCAATTTATATTCTCGTCGGTGTGTAATATATTGCTTTAATTCACTTAAATTGCCTCACATTCAACAAAATCTTCTTCAACTAGCCATGCTGTCGCCATAAAATGGATTTCTTGCAATTGCTGCTGCTGCTATCAACTTCTTCACTTTACCTCATTGACTTTTGGCACGGGTCCACATTGAACGGTAGCAGGCAGTAGGATAAAAATGACACTGGCAACCATCAATAGGCGCATTAAAATTCGTAACCATTTCATCAGCATGATGACTTGAGTCCTTTAAAACTTCGTTTTGTTTTAATTTATAAAAAAATTAATTGAAAATAGTTTTTAATTTCTCCTCAAAGGCGTGTTATTTATTTAGTCCGGCTTTTTGTTTTGTTTACACGCGGAAGTAAAAATTTGTTATTATTGTTTGGGGTTGTTGGTTCGCTCGCCTTTTTTATAAAATGTCTGGATTGTTTTCGAAACGAGCAAAATAATAACACGCGCTCACAATGCAATGCAATTTTGTTAGCCTAGAGTTGAGTTGGGTTGTGTTGCGTTGCGTTCGGTTCCGTTTCGTTTCTTCGTTTGACCGGAGTATCATTCCTGGCAGATGATTTTATATTCGTCCCCAAAAACACAAACTGAAAATAAGAGCAAAGCGCCACTAGCCCAGCCGAGCTGTTGGGGGGATGGATACAGCTACACGAGTATTTCATGCTGTACTCAAATACTAGCAACATGCTGGTTGGTTGGTAGTGTTGTTATCAACATTTGTATGGAATTTGTTGGCGAGAGGGCAACAGGAATAGAAGGGCCTTAAGATTCTGGGGCGCCTTGTATGTTAATTAGAATATAAAATTATAAAATGTTTGATTATCTTTTTTTAGCAGGTTCTCTATTGTTAACTACATATTGGAAGAAACGCTTTGGAGCATGGGGACATTAGAATTGACATATGATAAAACCTCATTTCTTATTTGATAACGTGCTAGTATCATCACATTGACGATCATTGACATCATGATGAAAAGTCAAATTATAACCAAATCAATCGGACATCCTAACGGTTTAAAATAGAAAAAAAGGAAAGTAGAACTTTCGAGATTGCTAATTTAATTACCTATATCCATATTGATTTTTTTGGAAGGCTATATCAGCTGGAATATGAAACAGGGATCTTCAAAAAATATTTGCTACAGTAATATGGATATTATACAAAAAAATAGGCCTATATTGCAAATTTACTACCGGCGGAGACAACGCACTTTTAGAAGCATTTTACATTTAATTCTGGTGGAAAATTTGGCAAGGATTTTTTTTGTTCTGTCACAGATGTAGATTTTATACATGTCATAAGTAGGTATTCAACTCTCAAAATGGATGGATTTTGATGATTTTGTAACATGTACGAACCGTGGAACCTTTTTTTATAAAATTGTCTAAAGGCTATTACAGTTATCATTGGGTTGGAAGTGCTGGCGGAAGGTCGTCATAGGAAGATAATAATAAAAAAATAGATGGCTCGACAAAGTGAGGGAACAGAATTTCGACATCAAAGAACCTTTCAGTCGAAGGCTAAAAGTTTTTCTCACAAAAGGCAGAAAATCGTAACAGCCCTATGCTATCTTTCACCACCTAATCACAAATCGAACACATTTCAAATCTGTACCGATTTTCACCACAATATTCAGAGATCACTAGCTGTCCTCTAAACTCATATAATCTGAATTTGAAGGGATTCAAGGGATCAAACATCTATTTTTTGAAACAATATCAAAAAGTGAACTGGTAAACCCACCAGCTAGCCAGCAACCTGTCGAATGAGATCGGTCCAAAATTGAGCTATTTCTAGGAAAATATGTGAAATATGTTTGCGAATTAATATCGAAATAGAAACGGATATTTTTTTTAAATTGTGTTTATTTATACCCTCAGAAATATGGCTAGAGAGGAGGTTATATATCATTTGATACGGCCAAAACGTGCCTCAGCGACTTAACGGTTTGAGACTCTAGGTCTCTTGTAACCAAATCCGTTTCAGGTCATTTGGAGTCGATCTAGCAATGTCCGTCCGTACGTCTGTCTGGCTGGTGCGCACGATAACTCCCGAAGGGAGTATCCGATTTGATCTAAATTTGGTACATCGTAATATTATTGTCTAACTTAGATCGAGTTCGGAGATGGGCAATATCGGTCCACTCCTTCCGATACCTCCCCCCAAAAGGTCGAAATTTTCAAAAACTATATTTTCTGCACAGAAAGAGAAACGATAATCCGAATTTGCTCCAACTTTGCAAATCCTAATATTTGCGTCAGTGCTAGGTCAGGTGCAAAAATGGACAATATCGGTCCACTCCATTAATTACCTCCCCCACAAAGGGTCGAAATTTTGAATAATTACAACTCTTATAAAATGTGATGTAAGAGTCCGATTGTCTTCAAATTTCACACATCCCAATAATTTTATTACCCCAAGATCTGGTGCCAAGATGGAATACATCGGCCCACTCCTTCTAGTACCTCCCCCACTAAGGGTCAAAATTTTGAATATTCATGAAGCTCCCAAAACACGAAATTAACATCCGATTCCATTCAGACTTGGCACATCCCAATATTTCGATAAACTCAAGATCTGTTATAAAGGTGGAAGAGATCAGACCATTTCTTCTGGTACCTCCTCCACAAAGGGTCTATGTTTTAAATAAGCAATACGATCATAAAATCCGAAATAAGCATCCGTTTCTCTTTAAATTTCAAACATCACAATATTTTTATTAACCCAAGATCTGGTGTGAAGATGGAATATATCAGTCCACTCCTTCTGGTACCTCCCCCGCAAAGGGTCAACATTTGAATATTCATGAAGCTCATAAAACACGAAATTAACATCCGATTCCATTCAGACTTCGCACATCCCAATATTTCGATAAACTCAAGATCTGTAATAAAGATGGTAGATGTCGGACCATTCCTTCTGGTACCTCCTCCACAAAGGATCAAAGTTTTGAATAACCAAAACGATCATGAAATCCGAAATAAGCATCCGGTTCTCTTCAAATTTCAAACATCACAATATTTTTATTAACCCATGGTCTGGTGTAAAGATGGAGTATATCGGTACACTCCTTCTAGTACCTTCCCCACTAAGAGTCAACATTTTGAAAATTCATGAAGCCTATAAAACACGAAATGAACATCCGATTCCATTCAGACTTGGCACATCCCAATATTTCGATCAACACAAGATCTGTTATAAAGATGGTAGATATCGGCCCATTCCTTCTAGTATCTCCCCACACGGTCAAAGTTTTGAATAACCAAAACGATAATAAAATCCGAAAAAACAGCCGTTTCTCTTCAAATTACAAACATCACAAGTTTTTTAGTTTTATTAACTTTAAACTACGACTTCTTTATCTGTTCAATCTTACATGGAAATATGGTGCATCGTCTGTACTATAGTCCTAATGCATATTAAAATCATCTTCGAACTCATGGCTTTGATTCTGAAATAATTGAAATTTTAAAATTTGCCTTTTCCATTTTTTTATTAATCATTGTATTTCGAAAGGCCCTTTGAATGTTCCACCCCTGTATTGTAGGCCTCGGTTGTGTCGCGTGAGTGTGGGATTGTTCTAGAGTCGTGTGCCGGCGGTTTTATGTTGTTTGTTTGAGTATATAATTTGGTTAGAAACAAACTCACAGCATTCAGACCAAATAATAGCAGTTCTATCCGATGCATGCAGCAAATGTATCTGGAATGAGACTTAGATTTCTCAAATGAATCACGAACAGGGAAACATTCGGCTACAACTGGATGAATGCATTCTCCCTGTATTTCTCTCATCATCTTACTGGGGATGATGTTTGTCTGGGTTATGTTGCAACATGCATGTTGCAACACCACTATTGACTGTAAAACAGAAAATGCTTTTTTTTGAAACACCACACAATGCAGGTGCCCCGAGGAAACATTTCTTGTTTTTGGCCACTAGAAAGGTTGTTGTAAGTTTTATTTATAGCATTCTAATGACTATCCTGGTTCTGTTATCTATTCACTTGTCAAATATTTATAGCAATGTAACAGTCGAACTCCCCCGCAATGTTGATTTACATGTCTCTATCATGGCACAATTAGTGTGATGGCATTCTCGTCGGCCCACTTCTTGTTTAGAGTTAATTCATGTTTTCATTCATATTTCTTGGAGCGTTATTAAGTGTCCAATAAACCATCATGTAATGTGCAACACGCGTTCTTTTATAAGGCAAATTCAATTAATTTGGTTTTTTTTTTTACGGAGCAAGAGATAATTGAATAGTAGATGGGGGCGCCACAAAATTTGTGTGTGTGTGTGGAATGCCGCCGCCGCTCACATTTACTTTTCATCCAATTCAAAAGTGGGACATATGGATAGCAATTATGTTGTAGCTGTTAATCTTTTAATAAAAACAGGGTATTGCAGACACTTTTGGAACGTAACAAAACAAAAAATGCCAGTGTTATCTCTTGTCATGCACAACTTCTGATGCAATATTTGTGGCATGTTAAATAAGGAATATGATAATTATACCCTGAGTATCATAGTCAAAGAGGATTTATATGTTTCGATACGTGCAAAAATGAGCTAATGAATTAGGGCTCCTATATATGTTTAGACAAAATCCGTTGCAAGACATTTGGTGCCGATCTAGCCATGTCCGTTTGTTAATCTACCCGTTTAATGTTCATGATTTCTGCAGATGGACCCTGATATCATTCATCAATTTTGATATCATATATCAATTTTGGTCCATCCTCTCCGAAAAAATGTCGCACAGGGGACTATTGATTCAAAATAGTTCTGTGCTTATCTACTGACGGAAAGGAGTTGAAATCTATGAAAACAAGCCCCAAGCAAAATCAGTTGTATACCCCAAGCTAATGTTCCATTATTTAAATATATTTTGACTTCTGTTATCATAATTCAAATTGCTGACCCTCTATGGAGTAGGTTCCGAATGTATGGAACAATATTGTCCATTTCGTATCGGGCCTAACTAAATGTGATATAAATATTGAAACGTGACAGGTTTGGACTATATCGACTACTTCTTTCACACATGCGTGAGTTACGAGATATAGTCGACCGAAGTATTCCACTTTCTGTCTTCATAAAATACAGATAAAAATATCGGTATGGGCAAAATTACAAGAAAATCGATTTTGTGTGAAATTTGAGAAGAGTTTGATGCCTATTCCGCTTTCTTTGAGCGTATCGTTTTTCAAAATCTTGAAGCCTATATGGGGCTGGTAGCAAAATAAAAGATCCGATCTCCAACATCTTTATAACAGATTTTGTGTTGATGGAATGGAATCAGATGTTAATTTCGCTTATTATGAGCTTCATGGATATTCAAAATTTTGAACCTTTGTGGGGGAGGTACCAGAGGAAATAGTCCGATCTCTACCGTTTTTATACAGATCATGGGTTGATAGAAATATTCAGATGTGCCAAGTCTGAATGGAATCGGAAGTTAATTTCTCGTTTTATGAGCTTAATAGATATTCAAAATGTCAACCCTTTGTGGGGGAGGTACCAGAAGGAGTGGACCAATATATTCCATCTTAACTCCAGATCTTGGGTTTATAAAAATATTGGGAAGTGTGAAATTTGAAGACAATCGAACTCTTACATCACATTTTATAAGAGCTGTAATTATTCAAAATGTTGACCCTTTATGAGGGAGG